AGATTTCAAAGTGAATTCAGTGTTGAATTAAAGTTGAGTAAAAACTATATTTTAACTTGACACTGAAAAAACATTTAACTTATGTTGATAGTGTAACTTTAAAATCTCAACATATTTGCAATGTTTATTTAACGTAAAAAAATGGTCAATAAACAATAGGATTGCATTGATTCCACATTACAATGCAAACTATAATTTAACTTGATGTTGTAAAAATGTTGAACTTACGTTGTTACTATAACATTAAAATCTCAACATATTTTTAACGTAGAAAAAACGTTGAATAAACTATTGTTTTTGGCAGAAAAACATAACATAGTTTAAACATTGATTACATATAAAATACAAACTATATTTTAACCATTAAAAAGATGTTGAACTAATGTTTTAATGTAATTTCAATATCTAAACCATTTTTCAACGTTTATTTATTGTTGAAATAACGTTAAGTATGTAATGGATACATTTAACAAAATACACAACACATTTTAAATGTTGATTCTACATTGAAATAAAAATTATGTTTAGGGTTAACGTTAGAAAAATGTTAAATAAACATTGTAATTGTTTGTTAAAATCTCAACCAGATTTCAAAGTGAATTCAATGTTGAAATAAAGTTATATAAAAAACTATATTTTAACTTCACATTGAACGTATGTTGATACTGTAACTTTAAAATCTCAACATATTTGCAACGTGTATTTAACATTGAAAAAAACGTTCAATACACAATAGGAGTTTGGTTGAAAAACGTAACACATTTTCAACGTTGATTCTACATTGAAATGCAAACTATATTTTAACTTGATGTTGAACTTACGTAGTTAATGTAACATTAAAATCTCAACATATTTTCAACGTTCATTTAACGTAGAAAAAATGTTAAAAAAGCAATAGGTTTTTGGTTGAAAAACGTAACACATTTTCAACGTTGATTCTACATTGAAATGCAAACTATATATTAACTTGACGTTTAAAAGATGTTGAATACATGTTGGTACTGTAATTGTTAAATTATCAACCAAATTTTAACATTAATTTAACGTTGAATTAATGTTAAATTATCAACCGAGACTTGGGTTAAATACACAACATATTTCCAACGTTGATTCAATGTTGAGTATATGTTGTGAACATGATTTCAACGTTTCAACTACATTTCAACGTTGCTTCAACGTTGAATTAACGTTTTGTGCCTGCTGGGTAGAGAAGTCTAACAATCCCACTCTACATAATAAACTTACCCTGGCATAAGTTTTGGGGGAATATACGTTGCCTGGTTTGTAGTAATTAATGTCCCGGCTGCCTTCGACATGATTATTACTTTATTCTCTTTATATTAAAATTACCACGTCCCTAATTGCGACGACGATACTCGATGTCAATGCTACAACAAGAAGGCAATGTTATTGTTTACACCGCATCACACATAATTACAATTTATATTATTCCGCGAAAGATACAACCTCATAGTTTCGTCCAATTACAGAAAAATGCAATTTGTTTTACATAATTTATTAGCTATATATTACACTAGACTAGATACTAACCTTTTAATATATTTAACTTAGATTAATAGTATGTAACATAGAACTATTTATAGAGCGTAATATTACCTACGATATCCTAGCAACCGTATTGTCATTAAAACGCTACAGCGTATAGAGGGCGCAGTTTACGGAGAAGTGGCAAAACATGTTTTTTTGTCTTTGTACTTAATTCTAGTAGCTTTATTTATTTTATTTATATATTTATTGACACTTCACCTTTAGAACGGTGGCACACACAACTCGTGTGGTGCGGTTGGAAAACAATAACAACTAAAATACAAAAGTAAACAGCCAAATACAAAAACAAATCATATAAAGAAAAGCACAAGAAATTAAACCTGGAATGTAATAAAGCCAATAGCTTAACTCAAAAAGTTTTAACTCTATAGGCTTAAATTTTGAAAATGTAAACTAAAGGTACAGAATCAAAACGTAAAAATGAAATCAAAATTAAAACAGGAATTACAAAAATCAAGTAAAAGCACCAAAATCATAAACATATATTATGTATAATACACATACATACGTATACATACAAACTTGTACACATACTCACATATCTACATATACATACATTCGCACATACTTGCATAATGTACATACAGTATAAACTCATGAAGAAAACAAAAATTTAAAGCAACAATACATTAGGTTTAAACCATTTTCCAGTTAACTCAGAGTCTTTTTTAATTCTGAGCGTTTTTCCCAGGCATTTATTGCATCATATTTTTTACAGTAATCATCAAAAATAAAAGCAGAATCATCACAAAAAGAGACTGAGTCTGCTCCTAAAATATACAATAATTTATCATCAGCAAGTGATGTTGAAAAAATGTCTATGTATCAGAAAGATCACAGACTGTAATTACTTTTTAAATTTGTTAATTCTTCATTTCTAATGTCGTCAAATGCCGTACATTTTAATAAGAAATGCTTTACATCTTCAATTTCTCCACTGTCACAAAGGTCTGTCTGTCTCAGTCTGAGAGGGCCATTTTCGGCCATCCAGAGGTTTATATTCTTTAAAAAAAATCTCATTTGGGAGGGGGACCCTCTCAACCCCTTCCTCCAGCTCGAGCCTACGAGCTCAAGTTCCCCTGTCGTACAACTTAGCCCTCACCCCCAGAAAATATATCCTAGAGCCGCCACTGTGTGCGGGACGGTCCCGCATTTCAAAGTGATTTTGGTTGAAACACGCATTTTGCAGAAACACATGCGTGATCATAAATTTATTCACGCATTTAGCAGAGGTCTATATGTGATAACGAATTGTCACAAATTCAGGGGAAAATCTATTTAAAATTAAAAGAAATTACTTTTATTAAAAATATAAAAACGGTCATGCAGTTTAAACTTGAGTCATTAGACAGTATTTACGTGAATACTTAATTCACTGACGCGCTACTACACTAAACATTAATCAATATGCCTTGGTCTATTCATTTTTTGTTTGTTTAAGTAATGAAATGTTTGTGTGCATAGTTCGGGTGTTCAAATTAAACATAATGTAGGCCCTACGTTGAAACTCAAATTGTATGTGTCTTTATTAAAAATATTTTTGTACCCGGTGTTGTCAACAAACGCTCCTTGAAATCGATTTAAAACAGCTTAAAATGCTCAGAGCCTCAGGGCTCCGCCTCTGGACTCCGGACCCTGCACCCCCCTCCCCAACTAATGGTGTACTCACGCACTTTAAATCTTTAAGGTTGGTAACTACAGATGAACAAAACATACAGTAATCTGTCGATTCTGAAATTAAAACTTTTAAAAGTGAAAATTTTGCCAATTTTCTGCAAAAAACGTAAAAGGTTTGCGTTCTGGTGGCACCTACAGCTGCTTTAAAAAAGTGATTTGGTTTAAGGTTTTATAGAAACGCCTCTAGACATTATTTCCAATTGTTTCATATTCATCATTTGCATATTTTATAATATATTTTAACACGATTTTAGTAGCCTTTATTTTTATATGAAATATGAAGTACTTTAAGTTAACACTAAATGTTCATTAAAATCACTAAAAATTATTTTTTTAAATAAGGCAAAAAAAAAAAAAAGAAGCAATTTCGCAGTACAATAATGCATAATGTATCCTCGTTGATTGCTCCTGCAGGTATTAACACCAATACCATACGCACAATTGAAACAAATATATTCAAATCACAGACAAGCTATAATCACCTGACTCTCTCTCTGACGGGTTCCGGGGTCGACGAGGCTTCTTGTCGGTAATACGCCGGTAACCCTCCGCTGAGTCTGGGCCCGGGCCTTGGCGAAGGCCCGAGCCTTGGCGAGGTTGAGTACTTAGCTTTGCGGCATCGTATGATGATCGCTTTGCGGTGATACTTGACAGGACTAGGCGATTAACAGACTGCAGGGGAGATGAACAGGGAGTCTCATTCAACTGACAGGCACTCGGGATGGCTATGCTAGGTTCAGTGCATCATCATGGCTTAGGGGTCGCACTGCTTCCTCCCTCCGTTCAGTTGGCTGTGGGGCCAAGCAAGTAGCTCTATCGTGCATTTAAGTGACCAGCGCACGAAGAGCGAAAACTTGAATACTAAAGAACAGAAACACACTTACAAACATGGTATTCACTCATAGTGGTCTCTGGATGTTGAACTATGCTGAAACTAAAAACGGAAATACTTTTTTTTTTTTTTTTTTTTTTTTTTTATCAAACCGGAGTTATTTTTACCAAGCTGTTCTGTGGTGATGCCTCCATTCACAGAGTTCTTATGGTGCCACAGAACTCGACCGTATCTGGCATATGATCCAAGGTGCAGAACACAAAACAACTGGAAAACAGGCAGGGTAATTTCGAAAAACAGTTATTTTAACCCAGTGGTGGCGCCAGAGGGGGGGGGGGACTAGGGGCTATAGCCTCCCCCCCCCCGTCCG